AAATAGGTAGATTAAGGAGGAACATAAGGACCTAAGGAGGATTTAAGAAATTAATGTTTTGTTGGCATAAGTGTATTAATTTAAATAGAAACTATGCTGAAAATCTGATTTGTAATATTGATGAAAATAGACGAAATAAAACAACTATTCCCAAATTCTTAGAATTTTGAAGATGAAACTGAAAACATTTCCCTTATACGTTTTCTTTTTACTTCTGTTGGAATGTTGCTCATTAAAGGCACTAATTTCTGCAATATTTAGAGTTATGAAATCCCTAGTAGTACACTTGCTCAGAATAATTTAATTATGAATGAAAGATAATTCCCTTTTTATTTTGAAATATGCCGATTTCTTTCATAAATTCATCTTCGCAGATTTGAAACACGCCGCATTAAAAATGGTAGGTGGTTGAATTTAAATTAAAGATATGCTCAGTTTAGTTAATGGTTAATGCAACAGATGGTATTAAAAATTGTAATTACAAGTTAATGGAATTTTCATGCTTTACTTTTTTAGGTTTCTGTTAACAAGATGTCCCCATTTAATGTCTTTTTTGTCCTTGGGATGCATATGCATGTTTTCCTCCGAATTTTACTTTAAATTAACATTATTTCTGAAATGAATGTGGAATGCTTAGTATGCAGAATAATGTTTTTTAAAGTGCAGACTAATGCTTTTATTATCTACATGAAATAAACAAACTGAAGTTATATAAATTTTCTAAACTTGGGTGTTTAAACAGTTTCTAAAATATTTCATTTAACAACCATGTTTTTCACAGAATTTTATTTGATTTTTCCCGTTCTATTCTCATGCTTATAGGATAGCCGGCTGCCAGTATTTGCTTCTGAGTTCGAATCTCGGAGAAGATTGATGTTTACAAATGTATAATATCCTTGCGGGGTGTTCGCCCAAAGCACTACAGCAAAAACATCCCACACGAAAACGTCGTGGAGAAGACAACGCAAGACGAAAACGCCATCGCACATAACAAATGGGAGAAAAGAACGCAAGGGAAAAATATCGCAGTTCTAAACATCGTGGTGTAAATCATCACCATCGAAAATAAAGTGGTTCAAACACATCCCATCTTTAAAACATCGTCGTAAGAAAATACCACGATAAAAATAAAGCATCTACAAATCATCGCATTATGATTACATTGCAGCCATGCATTTATTACGCTTTAAATATTATAAAGGTAAATTCGTATAATGATTTGCAGTTAAATAAACTTATGAAGTTAAATAAAAAATTTTCAGAATATTGCATAATATTTTCTAAAGTAGGATAAAAACAATTCCTGTATGGAAAAGTTAGTTAAAACTTCGCTAAAACGACCACCCCTGTTCTAAATAACTTATTCTTCTATTTATATATCCGTCTTAGAGATGAGATCCAATATCACTGTTTTCAAATGTTCAGAGCACATCTAAGCATTCTAAGGGATTTCGTCTGAGGTAGGTGACTGCCACAAATTAGCCCACCAAATGTTATTAACTATTAAACTTTTCGAATAAAATATATCGAAAAAATGAAATAACCTTTCTAAAGTGCTTATAAGAAATATCTAAATGCAATGCAAAATACAGAACCGTTTTTAAGGCGGCCCTTCACAGTTCCATGCCTTTTTAATCTTTTGTGAATTTATAATCTTAGAAAGGCAATGTTTAATATACATGTGTGATATATTCCCTACGTTGTATTACGTGCTGTGTTTATTTATGCTTTTAGAAACACTGGTTGTTTTGGGGAGATAGTTACCGAGCGAGTTCACTGTAATTGTATATTATATTTGAAGAAATTCTGCCTTTAAATTTTCTGACTATAATTTTGAATTCGAGTTCTTCCAATTGACAGATGTAAAAATGAACTAGTTACTGTTAATACTAGTTTCCGAGCGGTAAAATTACTGAAAACTGATGGTTTGACCCTGAGAAAGCGCTCCAAAAACGCATCCCTTCCATTAGGCAGATAACTGCGATGTGCTTTGCCATAATTTAATAAATCCAAATCCCCTACTGAAATATTATGTAGCCTTTTCCTGAAATGCTTCGACTTAACTATTGAACTTACATTCAATCGACTGAATGAAGGCTGGACATGAAACTTTTAATTGAACTTTAAGAATGTGAATAAAAAAACAAAATTTAATTTTTATTATAAGCATATCAGATTAGCTATTTAAAAGAAAATAATTTTACAGTTTGGTAGTAAATTAAACAATTTTGATATGGGTAGCCTCATGGAGTTACACATCTTCCCCTTTCTAATATTTTTAAAATATATTGTTCATGAAAAACTACCGATAAAATTTTATAAAAAATATTAATTAAATAAGGACCTTTAAAATAACAAAAATAATTTTTCATAACAGAAATTTAAAATTCTGTTAAGGGCAAAATAGCATTACTATTTTACTCATTTTAATTAATTCTAATTAAAGCAAATATAGGTATCTGATTCAGTCATTAGACTCGATTCATTAAGAGCAGTTTCATTAAGAGCAGAGAGTCATTAAGAGCAGGTTCGCTGAAATTGTTCCATGAAAAGGACATGAAACTCTGTCTCGGAGCTTTCGCCATTGCTACCCAATGTAGATAAAGTAGACTTCCTTACTCAACAAGCACAGGAGAAGATATACAAACCATCGCCTGATTAGGAGTGGTCCATTGCGCAACCCATCGAGAGGATGATAAGTAGGAATCCTGTTCGTGCAAAATATACCCCAAGAGCAGAGACTGTCAAAGTTCAAATCATAGCCAGTAAAAAAACATTTTCCGAAAGGAAGTATGAGTTTAAATAAGTGAGGATTCCAGTTTTTCTTAAAAACTAATAAAGCATTTTTGGAAAAACTGAAATTATTGGAAGTAAAGCAATCAAGAGAATATTGCAAATGCCTCTTCGTTTAAAAAATGTTAAAAATCAGCTGCTAAAATAATGCATATCGGAAACTGAATATATGTGTATATAAATATATATCAAACTTTATTTGGTGAGACAGGAACGTTTTAGGGAACTAAATTCTAAAATTTTAACAAATTTCTTAGGAAGGGTTGCCATAGCAGATCAAAAACTACATTTAGTAAAAGAAAATTAGTATCTAATTACTTTACAATAATCTGTTTCCATATATATAAATTTATATATCTATTTATATATTCTATACATATTTGAGAAAAATTGAGAGCTTAAGGCTAAAAAATGTTCTTAGTACGATCTTAAATTTTTTCCTAGGAATTTAATATCTTTCTTTTAAGAGAATATAATAAAACAATTAATTATAAAGTGGATATTTCTATACTTATGTGCACAGCGACTTTTTACGCTTCTTTTAAGACCAAAACATTAGAGTTTATCCTCTGATTCTTATGACTTTATATATTAATATGTATTTCTTCCTTCTTGTGCAAATTAAATTCGCTTGTGGGTGTGGTTCACTATATCTTGGCAGCTGCCAATGCTAAGTTGCTAAATTTTGCCTCGCCCTGTTCACTTAAATTATTCGATGCTCTTTCGTAATAATAATTGATATGTAATTAAGTTACGCTACAAAAATACGTACTTAGATCATATTTATTAAATTATGCTGATTATTATGTAATAATATGTAATTCCTGCCACATATTTTGCTTGATTTAACTAACCACAGTTATACTTATCAAGAAGTGTCATAATTCTGTAATTTTAACTACATGGGTATGTTTGAAAAGAGATTAAAAACGAAAGCAATATCATTATCCAACAATATTCGATCTCGCACTAAGGATATTTTACTAAGTCATTTTAGATTACAAAAATTGTATTTCTTCTTAAAAAACGAGGATTTTTCCACATTTTTATTCCATGCAACACAGAATACTTTGCACTAAGTTCTGAAAGTCAACTGAATGCTTGACCAGTGACCTCAAACTCTATACAAAGACTGCAACTGAATAGTAAGTTACTAATAAGTGAAAACTTTGGAACTTCGTGCTGGCATTACTGGGTTAAAAATGACTAAATGTAAGTGACATTCTAATAGGAAAACATATTAGTGCAAGATAGATGAAGAATTTTATCTTTGGTAAGTGCCGTTTAGTTTTCAAAAGCAATCGTATTTACATTGAAAATATATCACTAAGGAATGTACTACTGTCTAGGGAGTAGAGAGGACCATCCATGACCTACCGTTGGAATACTGAAGAACACATCGGTACCATAACCGAAGGAGGTGTTTTGCGCACGAACTAATAGATTTCTAATATTCTTTGTGAAATTGAATCTTTGAGAGCGGTTGTTTATATTTTATTTCGCATTTCTTTCATAATTTCCAATGTGTATTTGTATTCCTTTCAAATTCATTCAACCAAATATCGAAGTCTTTATAATTTCTAATTACTGATTTTTAATTTAATTTCAATTATTTTGTAGAAAACTATTTCAACTATTTCACTGAAAAATATTTTGAACCATTTTCATTTAAGCACCGCAAAGGTCAAATGATATGACAGAAAATATTACTAAAATTCAAGTGAACTGTTTTGGAAGGCCTTCCTCAGTTGTGATATTAATTAGGCGCTTACGAATTATGCGAACCGATGACAGTGCTAGGGGTAATCTATCCAGCATGGCATACATTGCCTCAAGAGCAGAGGTTTTGCAGACCATACTCCCACTCGTTCCTTGAATCTGACTTGTGAGTCGAAAATCCATTGGAGTGGTTTCGTGGTGGGAGATAGTGAAAAGCAACTTCTACCTATAGCCGTTACTACTAGACCGTTACTATAAATTCATAAAAGTTACTGTTACTCGTCATAACGATTTTAGCACTAACTTATAAAAGTTATATATATTTATTTTGAGTAAAATGAAGTTATTCACAAATTTTACATTAATATATATTTAATAATCTCTGCTGAGAAATTAAATTATATAATCTGATACTGCAATACAGAATGAAACATTTCCTCTAAGTTTTAAACAATGGTCTGAGGTATAAAGGTGAATGAAAATCATACCACATTTCCTTTCCTCTTCGTTGAAGATAATCTGGTGGATAAGCATGTCCACTGTGAACGCAAGAGCAAGTTGACACAGGAACACATGTCCCATGAGCATTTAGTGTTTCTCCTGGTGGACACATACATCCTTCTACGCAACTATCTCTGCAGTTAGCATAGCTATTCGCTATTTCACTGCAGCTATAAGAACAGGGATTCGCACATGAGAGATACATTTGGCCCATTGGACAAGATATTCCTGAAAACGAAATGACCAAATATGAATCATGGAATACATATAGCCATGCACTTATAGAATACAGAAAACTGATGCAAAATTAGTAGGGCGGGAGATACAGATCAATCTTTGGAAAGATTAGATGTATAATATCTACTCAAGTTTCATTCTTTTTATTAGATATTTGTATTTAAGAACAAACACATTGTAATTCTGAGAGAAATAGTAATAAAATATAATCCTAAATTGTTACAAATCTATAAACTAAACTGTTTAAACAAAAGTGACTTGTAAAATAAAAATATTTCAAACTCATTTCCTTTCGCTGCAATTTGCCTAATAAACCTACGGAAACTATAGGGCTGCTGAATGTCCTCGTAACTGAGAAACAACAGCTGAAGAAAAATGGTCGACTCGAATTTTCTCCACTTTATATCTGCTTAGCATGTTTCGCTTCATGAAAAGTATGCAAAGGAAGGCTGACTTGAACAACAGTTTCCAATAATATGGAAAAAATAAATGCTGTGTGATGATAACAAAACCAGTTATGCTCGCAAATGATGCTGGCAACGGACTTGAAATACCTATTTTAAAGTAACGGTAATTAGGTTTGGAGCATCACCTTCCGGATACTATCACAGCTCAAGAATCACGAAGTACCTTTATGTTGGCCGAATTATAGATTTTCTTTTTATTAGCTCATATTGCTGACATTAATAGTCAAGTTAATATTTATAGTACTTACGTATTATTCAATGAACCACTAAACTGCCGCTAAGCCGGGCCGTTTAGGCCCAATTATTGATAAGCTTACGTAACAACACACTCATAACATCTTCACTTTTGTTTGATGTACCCTCGATTGAATCTCAAAAACCCAGGTTTCATTTTTATCATTAAGGATGTAAATTTACTGTTATTGTTGCAGTTTTGTTGCATTTTGGTAAAAGAAAATATTGCAGTTTGGAACCTGCCTTCTGCAGAACAGCAAGCAGTGAATTAATTTCAAAGTTATGGGAACCTACCACCAAATAAGTGTGTAGTAAAGGATACGATATGGTCAGCTGAATATAATAGAGAAACACATAATAAACTGCAATTTCACTTACGTGTGACATATTTTGATTAGAATATCAATTTCACTTACGTGTACATTGATATTCTAATCAAAATATGTCATAAATTATACCTTAAAATAATATAAAACTGGGACAATCATCGGCGGAAAATTTGTACTCATAGCATTTTAACATAGCTTCTGGTAAAACCATAGAGCCTAACAAAATATGAGCGACCGAAATCCTTTTTAAAGCTCAAAACGAAACGAGTCGAATGCTGTTGTTTATGAAACAAAGAAACATCAGATTCTTCTGAATTCTTCCAGATTCTGCTCTCAACTCAACTCAACTCATGAGCAACTGATGCAACTTTGGAAGGATTTTCGCCAATTTTCAAGGTTCGATAGCAGGTAACACTCAGTCGACGCAAATATCGTAAGTATCAGATTTAATATATATGTGTTCTTCTGCAGTTATTAAAAATTGTTGTTCAATACCAGGGATGAAACAGAGAGATAGAAAATGTTTAAATAAATGTGGACTGTTAGTATTTATAATACAAACAATTTTGAATATTTACACATTTATGCTCCTAAGCTTAGTTTTATCCTTTGGAAAACAGTTTAGATATTACAAGATAGAGTAATGTTTACTAATTATTTAAACATTTTTCTCTGTCTTATTGTCTCTCCGTTTTGGTTATACTTGTTTATAAAGGGAGTAATATAAGTAATATGATTTTAAAATAAAATGGCAACAACGTTTAAAATGTTATCACTATCACTAATATTAATTTGTGTTTAGTATGCTTTGACAATGCACTTGCTTCATGAACGCTTGGCCTATTATCCATATTTTTTATGGAAAATATTATGGAAGTTTTTGTGGAGAGTTTTTTTATGTGAATACTCAACGTGCACTTCGAGAAAAAGATTGCGAAGCACTTGTATTCGCAAAAGGTCACTGTATGGTATGATTTGTGGCATAGTGTCACTGTAATTACTATGTGTAATTACTTTGTAGCTATATGGTGTGGATTGTGATGTAATCGAACTACATTTTAGTGACTGATGACGAAGCTGATTCATGATAACAAATTCTTTGAGCCCAAAAGTAGAGGTCATTGATTTCGAGGGCGTATGATTCCAACGAGATGCTAGCCAGTATCGATGTATTGAAAATATAGTTGGCAAAAATGATAATTTCATGAAATGCAAATGTAACTTGGTGTTCCACGAGTACCGAATTAACTTCTTTAGATTACTTTTTGGGAGGTTATTTGAAATCAAAAGTCTACGTGAATAAACCACGAACCCTTAAAGCATTTAGAATAAATATCGAACTCTGTATTTCTGACATTAGGCTCAAGTTATTGCATGGAGTCCTCGAAAACTGAATTCATTGATTTCACTTACATGTACATTGATATTCTAATCAAAATATGTCATAAATTATACCTTAAAATAATATAAACATTTTGGTTGTATGTAAAATGGTTTTTATTTTATTTTATTTTAAAGTCATATCATCGTTATTGGAAGACCTTTACTATAAAGATTCGAGAATATGTAAATAATCGGTTAAATATAAATGCGTTGGAAAGATATGCGAAGCAAATTTCATTTCATTTATTGCTCTCTAAAGATGATGTTTAGAGCTTTATAACGACTGGCTTTGTATCTGCTACGAAGGATATTCAGATAATTTAACTCAATTGCTCTAGGAATTATCAAGCCACACATGAATCAGTCCACGATTAAAAGGGGATTACTATATTTAAAGGTAAGAGGAAAAAGCCTTTAAAAGAACAGTTAATTAATTTACTAGTTTGATACTATAAATTAAGATTTATCTTAGAAGTGTATAGGTAATCTGATTGGAGTTGCAATAGTTTATTTTCATATTAGTTTGTAAACAGAAGTGAGATTTATAGTAAATTAAACTAATTTATTCCACTATTTTATTCTTCACATTCAATGTTTATGGTGTCTACAGCGATTACTGAAATATGTAGTGAAGAAATAAAGAGGTTGGAGCGATTTATAAGTTAGCAGCATTTTTTTAGTTATTTTTTATTTTCTCAATTACATAATTTTTTTTTCTCCTCGAAATCTCTCATTGGTTTCAAGCTAAATTATACTATATTTTTGATATCTCGAGAAAATTGCTTGAATTCAGAAAACTAATTATTAGTGATTTTACATCTGCAAATTAGATAGTTTGTAGGAAATAAAAACATGCGAAGATTCTATATTGTTTTGTTACAAAAAATGCACATTTTTCTGAAACCAGTAGCCAAATTACATCGTAATGTTTATAAATATCATGCACTACAAGACTAGTACTTTTAGAAAGAAAGAAATCTTTGTTTATTAGGGAGCATTTCCTGTTATTAGTGCTTGTCAAGACAAATACAATTAAATTCAAATATACCGAAAAACTTGCTTAGAAATTCTTCTCTACAAACCTTCTCTTCCTTTTAGCAGAACACATAAGTAATGTTTCTTCCCTTTTTCCTAGAGTGTGTTATCATGTAAACATGTTATCTCAACGGTTTGTATTTATACCAAGAAATTTATTTGATATTTTTGTCGGATATCGTTCTTAGAAAAACACATCAGTAATATTTTAACCTCGTTTTTCCAGAGACCGTTATCAGCAGTTTTTCAAACTCCATCTAGTGGTATCACAATTAGATATATGGATAGAATCTGGTTATAAGATTATTCATATAATCCAGTGGCCGAGTACGCACTGTTCTTTTGAAGTAGATTTGAATCTTGATGGATATACATTTAAAAGGCTGTTTGGATATACATTTTCATGATATTTATCAAGTTTTAAGAAAAACTGAGCTCACTTTCTTTACAACGTCCTCCTACTCTTACAAGGCATCCTTCTCTTAGGTAAATAACGTTCAATGTGTTTTATGTTAAATTTTTGTACTAACGAATATATCAAATAGAAATTCGAATTTGTGAGTCTAATATTATCGGCTTTATTTATTTGCTTTGCCGAAAATGTAACATTTTCAGCTCTACTGTCGCACGGCAATGAATGTAAATAACTTACCCCATTCTACAACATTTAAGGAACTAATATATTGAATTAAATAACAATATGATGGCAATTGAATGCTGCTGAAAAAGGTACGGAAAATACTTCAATTGTGAAAGTCAAGAAGAATATGCGGAAATTTCGGAATAAACCATGCGAAGACTTTATAAACTATGAGTCACAACCGCAAATTTGATCGTAAAGTCAATGTCAGAATCATGGAAATTTAATTAAATACGTGTATTTAAAAGTTATAAGATATTTCTCTCGGCTTCTTAGCATGCTTTCGTTGTGTAATGTTGAGCACACTCGGCGCGTATTCGAGAGGTCCGAGGTTCGAGTCCAGGTGAGGGCACTGCTTATTTTTCACGTCTCTCAGCATCAAAAAACCTAATATCTCTACAGTGGCGCTCGGACTAAAAAGGTGGTGGATGATGATTCTCCAACACCAGGATGTGGCGATTGGGACCCCTAATCTCCAGTCGCCATTTAAAAGGGGGGAGTATATACGGTATGTCTCCCGCCTTCTTAGCAAGCCTTCGTGGTGTAATGGTAAGAACACTCGGCTTGTATTCGAGAGGTCCGAGGTTCGAGTCCCGGTGAGAGTATTGCTCATTTTTCCTGTTTCTCAGCATAAAAACAACCTTATGTCCCTATAAAGTATTGCATTAATGGGACTTTTAAACAAATAACATTAATTGACACTAATGAGATTAATCACTTGTCATATAAAATGAATTTGTAAAATTGTCGAGTAACTCAAACTATAAACTTGAGTTTTCACAAAAATCTGACTGAATTCTGGATGTTCTATCATTCAGCAACGTATACTTATGTGACACATTTTCAGCTTTAGCGCCTATTAAATTCAAATGTGGTTCAACGCTGAAAAATGCTGAAGATACT